CTGCTCCAACAAGCTCAGCCGATTCCGGACGAAATTGAGGCTGAGCCATGGTAGAACTAGATGCGCCTGGTTGTGAGAAATGTTGTGGTGGTGCTCCACGATCGAGAGGGTGGCCAGATGTGGAAGTAACTGGCCAAAAACGGTGACTGCACTAGCGGTTTTGGATGGAAATTAGGGCTGCTTTCGGCGGTCGGTGGGCAGGCGATGGTCGGAGGTTGTAGAGGGAGGTGAGGGAGTGCCGGTGTTGTGGGGGTCCGGAGGCTTAGGTGGCGGGTGGTGGAAGTTATTGATGGAAGGATGAGGTGGATCCGTAGCTGAGGAAGACGTTTTGAGGGAAATGGAGAGAGCGGACCTTTTCCGCGTTTTTGATTTTTTTGGAAGGAAACGCCCAAAACATCTTTTTGGATTTTCAGCTGATTTTTTTTTGTTTGTTTTCGAAAATTCATTTTTAAAAATGGAAAAAAGAACGCGTTTTCACTGTTTTGAAAAATCGAAAACAGAAAATGATCCGAAAATATCGAAGAGAATAGCCCCTTAGTTTTTCTTTGTATACAAATCACCAACATTATAATGGCGTGATTTGTCTTCAAATCTTGTCTTGCTTGAATTGAATAGCTTCGTTCTAAAGCCACGAAAAAAGAAGAAAAGAAAAAACTTCTAGCATCAATCAATAGCAACATGGTTGATACTAAGGTTGCTCGTGGCGTCGAAAACTACTAAAAAATAAATAGGCGTGATTCCCCCTAAACAATAGAATATATTCACATGGAAATGAACATATTTACAAGTTATATCATCCGTAATCGCTAGAATCTCGAGAATTTTTTTGAACCAATCACATATCAGAGTAAAAGAGAGAATATAATCAACATTCAAGTGACTAAAACACGAGGTAAAAAGTTCACTGCGTTAACACAGCCAGTTATCCACGGTTTCTATAATGAAAAACAGGAAAAAGTTACATATTGATTCTTCAAAGTCAGTCATTCTATCAATAACGAATTTCTTTGAAAATTTATTCTTAATTTTCTGAATTTATGGTATATCACATTAAAAAAATCCTCCTATAATTTGAGTTAAGTTTTACAGACTCGGAAATACACAAGTCAAAAGTTTGCACAGAACTCAGACGACTTCTTAGCCTGTGCAGATGATGTTTGTGCATCCACATCCTTCCAGTCTGCCTTGCAACCCCACACCCGGATTGCAAGCCTCCGGCACGTCAGAGAGGGTTGTTTTAAATAAGTGTTGTAACAGTTGATAATATCCGTCTTTCGAATACCCCTAAGCTCCTCGACTTCCTTATGGACATACAAATGATCCCGGTGTGACAAACAAAGGAATCAACAACTCCTTTCTCACTTGCTTAGCTATAAAGATTGATGGAATGTCTTTCGTCTCAGTTAGCAGGGGTGGTAGCAGATGGTTAAGATCAATGCTATGTGTATAGGAAAAGTACCCGCCGAAACCAGAGAAAATACACACAAATAGGTGGGCCCTAATTTTTTGGCAATATTTAATTCACACGGGTCCGCCTCCCATGTGAGTGGAATTCAAATTCCTTCACAAATTCTGATTTTTTTTTTTTTTTTTATATGGTACCAGCAGGTTTTTTCAATGGTTTACTTATGCCCTTATTTGACAACTATTATTTCAACTCTTTTTTCTATATAATCATTTTCAATTACACAATGAAATATTATATACGTAAATCCAAATTTTTTTCCTATTTTTTGATCACATATTTTTCAAAAAATTATTATTTAAAACTCAATTTTACCCAAATAATGATTGTCAAACATGGGCTAGAAAAGCATTATTAAAAATTTAACAGCAATTGTAATTCAAAATCATAAAGAAAAAAAAAAGTCTTTTCTATTTTTCAAAACAAATGAAATTACAGTTTATGTTTATTTGGTACACAATATAAAATGGTATGACACAAACTTTAAACTTTTTTTTTTCCCCATATTGTTCGGTACTATGTGAACAAATGGCTAAAAAGGCAAGGCATGGTGGGTGGTGGGTGAATAGGATGAATAAGGTGAGCCCATGACAAATGAAGGAGGATTGGTTGAGGATTGTGCTCTAATGGGAGTTCTTGGGGTCATCGGACTTCTTGATGTGGACACCATCCTGCTTCGACCGCCACCACCATGTCGATTTTCTCCTCTTCTCCTCGGCCCCTTCTCTTCCCACTTGAGCTCTTGTTTCACCGTAGATGGATATCCCATACAGCACCCCTAACTTCCGGCCTCTTGTATGTACCTGCGCTCAAATTGACAACATGAACATTAACTGTTGATATATCGACTGATATAGTATGCCTAAAATCGTAATAGACAAAATACCTAAAATCAAATATTGCAGCCACCCGTTTAAGGAAATTATGAATATGTCACATATTTCAACTTGCACGTGTTGAAGATTAAATTTTTGTAAATTAACAAATTATCCTTCATCTATAATATTAAGTTTTTTAGATGAAATAGTTCAACCAATATTCATTAAGTCCTTATTTGGTGGGGATTAAAATCAAATTTTTAATAGAGTTTGATAAAAGTTGATGAAATGTGTTGTTAAAAAATTGTGAGTATCATGAAATATGTTTTTAAAATTAATTTTCGACTTTAACTTAAATTAAAATTTAATCCATACCAAACATGGACTAATTTTATTACCGTACTTGTATATTTCTCATACTTGTAACATGACTCGAGTCAACAAGGATAATAAAAACTTTCTTAGCATTCAATTATATGCCGGCCGCTGCCTTGAGGTGTGCAGAAAATGTTAGAAGTTAATCCAAAATCATCCAAAACAAAAGCATTTAGGGTCGGTGTGACAATGCTTTTTGTGTACACCAACAACGCATTTTGTGTAAAAGTTTTAACAGATTTTGATAAAAATTGATAAAATGTATAATTTAAAAGTTGATAAAAATTGTAAATTCTATGAAATGTGCAATTAAAATTAAAGTTTGATCAATTAAAAAGATGATAATACATGCACTTAATATACGAGATTTTGATGAAAATAATATTTGTTGGTACATGACGAATTCCATCTTTAATTAGTTAACTACCTCCTAAAAATCATTATACCTATTTTCCTTGGAGAATTTTGTTAAAAATATATAGTAGTTTGGGAGGAGTGTTTATAGTAAAACTCCATTCATGCATGTATTAAGATCATGTTTGACTTTCATTTTCTAAGGATTCATTTGATTGCAAAAGTGAAATTTGAGTGGAAAGAAAATGAATTTCAGGAAATTGAATTGCATAGAATTGTTTTCATGGGAATTATCAATTAATTGTGTTTGATTAGTATAATTTTTCACGTGAAAAATATTGAAATTTTGGATATTTTGATGTTCGTTTGGTTTTGTTTTACATGAAAATCGTTTATTAAATTAATATAATTTGTTGAAATTGGGGATATATTTTGTTTCCATTGAAAAAAAAAAAAAATTAGCATGGAAAACCAAATCCCACCAATGTTTGATTGGAAAAATTTTCTGGGCAATTTATTTTTCATCTTTTACCTCACACGGTTCCAATTACATGGTTTTGAGGAAAACAAAATCCCATCAAACATGACTTTTGATGGAAAATGAAATTTCATTTCCAAGTTTCATGGAAAAATTGTCAAATCAAACGGGGCCTAAAATTCATTTTTTTCTCAACCTCATTTTTAATCATATATTCTTTCAATTAAATAATTTTGCACATGAATCTATAACTTTTTCATACATTTTAAACTACATATTCTCTAAATTTCACAAAATCTATCTTTAGAAAAGTAATTGTTAGAAAGTATATAGAAGCATTCATATATGACTGTATGAGTGCGTTTTATCCTCCCAAATCGTCAATGAAGTCAACAACTTTGCGACGCGAAGACAAACAATAGAAAATTACATTTGTTTGTTATTAAAAATTTAAAGTTTAAATGAGATTTCTTCAAGATCATACTGTTATATATTTATACAATA